CACACACACACTCTCTCTCTCTCTCACACACACACACACACACACACACTCACACACAGACGCAGCGCAAAGAGAAAGAAACAACAAACTAGTTAATAAAACTCATTCACACGGTCTCTCTGTTCTCCTCTTCTTCCTCTCTCATTATCTCCTCCTCTCTTTCTCTCTCTCTCTCTGTCTGTCTCTCATCTCTCCTTCAGCTGAATTCTGTCAGAAGTGCTTTGTTGGCGGGAGAAGCGGCTCACGCTGCCAAACCGTGTTGTGATTAAAATGCTAACGTCATGTGTCGCAGCTTAAATATCCCATAAGGCCAGTAGGCCACAGCTGGGTGATGTCATCTCTCCAGAGTGTGTTGATGGGGTTTGTCTTTACGGAGCTTTAATTCACTGAACATGGACACGATTAAATGCTGTTGCATCTAGAGAACTCTTTGGCCTGTAGTGTTACCTGAGGTGGTTAGTTTAGACCGCTTTATAGGCATCGAATTGCAACTTGGCTTGACAGTGACAATCTACACTAGTATTCAAAAGTATGGGGTTAGTAAGATTTTATGGGTTTTTAATGGGTTTAAAAGAAGTCTCTTCTGCTCACTAAGGCTGCATTTATTTGATAAAAAATGCAGTTAAAAATAGTGAAAAATTATTATAATTAAAAACAGCTGTTTTCTATGTGAATATCTGTTAAAATGTAACTGATTGCTGTGATCAAAGCTGAATTTTCAGCAGCCAAAAAATAAAAGAAAGAAATATGGATAGATAGATAGATAGATAGATAGACAGACAGACAGACAGACAGACAGACAGACAGACAGATAGATAGATAGATAGATAGATAGATAGATAGATAGATAGATAGATAGATAGATTCAAAACATTTTAAACCCATGGTTTGTTTGTTAAAATAATATATATTTTAAATAAATAAATTTCGACTGTTAGGAAAGTATAAAAATAAAATATAAAAATATAAAGTTGAAAATAAAATATAATGATTCAAATATTTAAAATAACATAAAACATTTAAATTAAAATAAAATAAAATATGATATTTTAAATAAATTGCATTTATATTTAAATATTTTAAAATATGATTGATTAGTCTGGAAATAAAATCAATTAAAATATTGTAAATAAAATAAAGTAAAAAGTGAAATGAAATCTTATAAACTAGAAATGAGCAGCGTTTAATTTGTTTTATTTCGTGTTATTGAAAATAAAGATGAAAAATAAGACTAAATGTGTTTATTTGATAAAAAACAGTAAAAATAGTATAATATTATTAGAATCTAAAACAGCTGTTTTCTATGTGAATATCTGTTAAACTGTCATTTACTTTTGATCAGTGGTGCATCTCTCTCTCTCTGTTTCTCAGGGTTCTTCATAACTACATGTTGTGGCGTATCGTGGCGGCGCTGAGCGAGCATCTCTCCACCGCGTTTCGCAGCACGATTCACGAGTTCTCACGCGAGATCGACGGAGGAGAGCGTCAGCTGGATCTGGAGCGGCTGTGTCTCAATCAGGCCAACAAACACTTCGGCATGGCCCTCGGCGCGCTCTTCGTCCAGCAGCACTTCTCCTCCTCCAGCAGAGCCAAGGTGAGCAGCACTGAGCTCAGGACCATTCATCGCCTCAGAAGTCACTGCAGAAGGTGCCATTCAATCTTGTCAAACACGAAAAACTGATTAAAATTCATAAGTGCATACACTTTTTAATGCAACGTGCATTTTAAATAGTTATTTTCTGCTGAATGCTGGTGAAAAGTGTTGCAATTATAAATGTAAAAATTATCCCTGTTTTAGTCAGATTTGTACAGCTGCTACTGAATTTCAAATTTAGAAAAAAGTCAGTTCATGCTAAATAATAACTGGTTATTGGTTGTTTATTATTATTGATCATTGGTGTCACTTCAGATAAATCATGCACATCCCTAGTAATAGTAATATGGATTATATGTAGCTAGTGTTATGTTGTAATGCATTATAATTTAAACACCCCAACAAATTAATTGAACTAAAACTGAAACTAAACTAAAAAGCATAAAACGACAACATTTTTGCTGCTTGAAATAAAATCATAAAATAAAAAATATTAAAAACTTATTTCAGCTAGTAGCCAAGGAAACATTTCTCACTTTAGAGAAATCAGAAAGTAAGTCAGTTAGTTTGGAAAAAAATTAATTAATATAATATATAATATATTTTAAACAAATTAAGATATTTTAAATGAGTACATTTTTTAATGTTGCCTATGAGAAAGTAAGTCAGATTAGTTTGGAAAATAAAATAAAATATTTGTAATATAAATTAAAATGTTTAAATAAATATATAATATTTTAACCAAAGTTAAAATTGTATTTTTTAATAAAAATATTAAAAACATATTTCAGCTAGTAGCCAAGGAAACATTTCTCACTTTCATTTAGTTTAACTTTATACTAAAATAACAAACTAATAAAATGAAATAAAATGTAATAAAAAATATATAGACATAAGTAAAAAAATAAATAAAAAAAAAACTACTAAAAATGACAAAAACGCAACAAAATTACTAAAACTTTAAATTTAAAATGAAAAATGTATATTAAAAAATCAATAAAAACTATAATAGTATCGCAGTGATATTAAATAAATAACATGATCCGAACTTTAAGAAGTTATTTACAATGATTTTTAAATCATTCTTTTCAGGAATAAAAAATATTCTAACGTGTATATATAGAAAATAAGAATTAAATCGATTAATAAAGAATAAAACGGGGCATAACAACTCTCCCCCTTTTTATTTTATTTATTTATTTTTTTATAATTTCTGTGCTTTTTTTAGGTATTTTCCCACTTTGTTACACTTATTATATTCCTACAAATCTGCATATAAATTTCTTGTTATGTTATGTTATTAATAAAATATTTTAATGTCCAAATCTTTTTTATCAGCTTCTTTTTCCAACTATTATGAGCTGATGCACCTCAGTTTCTGAGTCAAAATAAAGTTTTCTTCCACTCAGAAGCTGCGGTGCTTCGGTGATGATATCTTATATAAGTGTGAGATTACTGGGGTCTCTTTTCAGGAGAAACATCTAAGCTTCAGTCTCCACTTCATCTCGTCTAATAGAGATATCGAGGGACTCATTGCTAATTTTTCTTTCCTATAGAAACATGCTGCATTGTTTTGTGCGTCTCATCTTCCTCTTTCTTTTCTAATGCAGTCGATCTGTTTCTCTTCCACCGGCCCAGTGTTTGTTTCATCTTCTTCCTTCCTTCCCTCTCTTCTCAGATAGATAGAATGATGGATGGATCGAATCGCACTTCTTTCGTTCCCAGATGGTGTGCGTGGCGGGGTGTAGAGATTTGTGGAAAAAGTTCTATTAAAGGAATTCTTCATCCACAAATGACTTTCTTTCTTTAGTGGAACACAGAATTTCTTTACTTGAAATAAAGTAAACATAAACGTGTTTTATTTCAGCTCGTTGTTGAGGCAGCATTTCTTGTTTTTGTCTAGTTTAACTTGAAGTACAACATTCGCTAAATTACTGTAAATAAACTAAAACGAATACATGCAAAATCGTTAATATTTATTAACCTTAAAATATTAAATTATTCATATTTGAAAAAACACCACAGCAGTACTAACACTTACTGAAATTCAGGTGAAAACAGAAAATATACAAATAAAATTAATTCACAGTATTAACAAAAACTATAATAGAACTCTAAAATAATCAAAAATATTGAAATCACATACAGTATGAGTAATTGTGTTTTATATATATACATAACAATATAGTTATTTGTGCTAGAAATTTGAAACTCAAATGATGTATAAAATTTATTTTTTATGTAATTAAAATAAATTAAATTAACATTAAAAATATTAAATCATAAATATAAAAAAAACGAATAAAAAATGACAAAAGCACCACAGCAGTACTAAAACTTACTGAAATTCAAGTGAGAATATACAAATAAAATTAATTCACAGTATTAACAAAAACTATAATAGTATGTTAATGAACACTAAAATAACACTGGTACATGTCAAAAATATTGAAATCATATATATCACATACAGTATGAGTAATTTTATGTTATATATATATATATATATATATATATAACTTTCTTTCTTTAGTGGAACACAGAATTTCTTTACTTGAAATAAAGTAAACATAAACGTGTTTTATTTCAGCTCGTTGTTGAGGCAGCATTTCTTGTTTTTGTCTAGTTTAACTTGAAGTACAACATTCGCTAAATTACTGTAAATAAACTAAAACGAATACATGCAAAATCGTTAATATTTATTAACCTTAAAATATTAAATTATTCATATTTGAAAAAACACCACAGCAGTACTAACACTTACTGAAATTCAGGTGAAAACAGAAAATATACAAATAAAATTAATTCACAGTATTAACAAAAACTATAATAGAACTCTAAAATAATCAAAAATATTGAAATCACATACAGTATGAGTAATTGTGTTTTATATATATACATAACAATATAGTTATTTGTGCTAGAAATTTGAAACTCAAATTGTTTATATATAAAAAAAATGTTTATGTAATTAAATATGGAATATTATATAATTAAATATTAAATTAAATATTTAAATTAAATATACAGTGTGTCATTTGATTATTTTCCTTTTTTTTGCACTTGTTTTTTATTTACTATTTATTTATTATTTATGTGTTATGATAGTTTGACCTCAGTTAGTTTTAGTTCCCACATACACAGACCCAATCAGACGCCACGGCTCCTTTGATTGACATCTAGTCTCCGCCCCCGTTCTCAGGTGCAGGAGCTGGTGGAGGACATTAAACACTCGTTAGATCAGAGACTGCAGGAGCTCGACTGGATGGATGAAGAAACCAGAGGCGCTGCCCGAGCGAAGGTGACGCTGATCTTCTCGTTTAGAGCTCGATTACATTTCAGTCCGACTTTAAAGAGTTAACAAGTTTAGATGAAATAGTGAGTAAGAGGACAGAGCTATAAAGCAGCTCAGATCACATTGAGTTCATACTGAGAGTTTTTCTGATTGTTCTGAAATCTGTTTCTCGCAGCTGCAGCACATGATGGTTATGACCGGTTATCCTGACTTTCTGTTAAAGCCTGAGCTTATCGACGAGGAGTACGGGGTAAGACGCTGCTGAGCGATCACATGATCCCATTCCAGACGAGATCTCGAGGTCAAGTCCTCTTATTTCTCCTCGACAGTTTGATGTGAACGAGAAAACCTACTTCAGGAACATCCTCAGCAGCATCAAGTACAACATCAAACTCTCCGTCAAAAAGATCCAGAGAGAGGTGGACAAGACGACGTGAGTTTGACAGAACCACACAGGAAGTGATGTCACTGATACAGAAGCATGGCAGCATGCGATTACTGCTGATTTCAATGAGAAAAGTGTGTGTGTGTGTGTGTGTGTGTGTGTGTGAGTGTGTGTGTGTGTGTGTGTGTGTGTTTGAGCTCAGTTC